TCCGTGGAACAACCTGCCTCCAGAACTTGTAAACGCTCCACCAGTGGACGTTTTTAAGAAGAGATTGGACAACCATTTGTCTGAAATGGTAAAGGGTTTCCAATTTCCCATAGCAGGGGGTTGGACTAGAAGACCTCCAAGGTCCCTTCCAACTCTTTGTTATTCCATGTAGTGATTTTTGCTCACATCGAGAAGCTTCCGAAAAATACTCCACGTCTGCCATCTAGCGAGGAAAAGAAAGTATTAAAAAAAGAAGTAGTAGTAAATGTCATTTTCTACCTCCACATTTCAACATTGTGAAAGACAGAACAAGGGCTGCCCGTCCCATATCAATGGCAAATCCAGGGATAGGTGATGTAAGTAAACATTCTTGTTGGAATTCATTTTAAACCTAGCTTCTTGGAAATTTCTTTAGAACTTAGGAAAACAGAGCATCCGCGGCTAAAGAAAGTAATTGGTCACCACACTATAAAAAAGATGTTGAGACTCTAGAAAAAGTGCAAAGAGCAACCAGGATAATGAGGGGACTGGAGGCTGAAACATATAATGAATGGTTGCAGGAATTGGGCCTGGCTAGTCTAGTGAAAGAGAAAGACCAGGGGAGACATGATAGCAGTCTTCCAGTATTTGAGGGGCTGCCACAGAGAGGAGGAAGGGGTCAAGCTATTTTCTAAAGCACCTGAAGGCCAGACAAGGAATAATGGATGGAAACTGACCAAGGAGAGATTTAGCCTGGAAATAAGGAGAAACTTTCTGACAGTGAGAACCATCAACAGCTTGCCCCGGAAAGTTGTGGGCACGTCATCACTTGAGACTTTCAAGAAGAGATTGGACTGCCATTTGTCGGAAATGGTGTAGGGTCTCCCACTTGGGTTGGGGGATTGGACTAGATGACCTATAAGGTCATTTCCAACTCTGATTATCTGTTATTTGTTAATTGAAGTCTGCTTTGAGGTGATCAATTATTTTATCCAGCTGATAAAAAGACCAAGGAATCATTATATTGATGTACAAGGGTTGGATAACTCCTCATATCAATTGAAACTTTTAGGTAACTTACTAGATAACACTTGATACTGATTTTACAAATAATAGAGGTGGAAGGGACTTTGGAGGTCTTCTAGTCCACCCCCCTGCTCAAGCAGGAGAACCTATACCATTCCAGACAAGTGACTGTCCAGTCTCTTCTTAAAAACCTCCAGTGATGAAGCTTCCACAACATCTGAAGACAACTTCTGTTCCACTGGTTAATTGTCCTCACTATTAGGAAGTTTCTCCTTCGTTCCAGGTTGCTTCTCTCCTTGGTTAGTTTCCTTCCAATGAATCAGAATAGAGGTCTTGGAGGTCTTCTAGTCCAGCCCTCTGCTCAAGGAGACCCTCTACTATTTCAGACGAGTGACTGTTTCCAATCTCTTCTTAAAAGCTCAACTGATGAAGCACCCACAACATCTGAAGGCAACTTCTGTTCCACTGGTTAATTGTCCTCACTTTTAGGCAGTTTCTCCTTCATTCCAGGTTGCTTCCCTTCTTGGTTAGTTTCCATCCATTGTTTCTTGTCCTGCCCTCCAAAGCTTTGGAAAATAAGTTGACTCCCTCCTCTTTGTGGCAGCTTTTCAAATACTGGAGTATCAGTATTTGATATCAGTATAATGTACAGGGATGGGTATTATTAACCTGGCAGAACTGGATTTTTTAAAAAATGTCCTTTCTATTATTTTGGAAGAAGCCATCTTCGATAGGGTTATCTCCTTCAATATTTATGACACTGCTAAAAAAAAAGATTGATATAAGCGTCAAGTCCAGCTCAGCTGCTGGTGGCTCCAAATACCTCCATGTTGGGTTTTTTCTGGCAGCAATTCAGAAATGGTTGGTTGTCACCTTTTTCCAGAACGTTGTTGGATTCCCAGGATTCAGTGGTGGGATTCAGTCGGTTCTGACCAGTTCTGGAGAACCGGTAGCGGACATTTTGAGTAGTTCGGAGAACCGGCAAATGCCACCCAACTGGCCCCGTCCCCATCTATTCTCCACCTCCCATCGAGTCCTAGCTGATCAGCTGGGTCTCCTTTGGTTGCCCTGCACAGGAGAACGGAGCTGGAAAGCAGGTTAGTGGGGTGGGGAGGGAATGGGGATTTTGCAGTATCCTTCCCTGCCATGCCCACCAAGCCATACCACACCCACCAAGCCACGCCCACAGAGCCAGTAGTAAACATTTTCGAACCCCACCACTGCCAGGATTGTAGACATTTTGTCTTCCATCCAGACAAGGTCCCTTCCAACTCTATTCGGATTCATTGGAGGCTGATTAACCAAGTGTCAAGATTCAGCATTCCAGCAACCCTTCTTTCCAGTCAATAACTCCAAGACAGATATCTCTCAAAGACTGTTTTATTTAGATAAGTAACTGGCACATCTGTGGAATCCTGAATGTGAAAGTTTTTGGGCTTCCTTGCGATATTCAAAACTACAAATCCATCCCCCTTTGATTGTCATCACATCACATGGCCCAATCACGATCTGTCCTAAAGTAAGATCCTTATTTCATCCTCCGCCACACTCAATGACCTTGTACTAACAAAAGAATTTTATTGTCTACTTATATTCAATTGAATCCACCCCGCTCCCACTTTCTCAGGCTTTGTGGCAGCATGGGAGTATCGAATCTCAATATGGCTTCCAAAGCTGACACCAAGTCTTGACCGGGCTTAGTTTTGGAAGATCGAGACTGACTAAATTCCGCCACCTAGCTAGGCGCAAAATGAATACCCTCAGAGTAACTTATTTAGTTACTAGCAGTTGTAAATACTTCACTTAACCTCCTCCAGGGAAAGATTTGAAGGCCAATGAGGTCCAGGCAGAAGAACAACATCATGGCTTCAAAATCTAAGGGACTGGTTTGGACAAAACTCAGCCACCCTTTTTCGTGCAGCTGTTGATCCAAATAAGATTGTCAACATGATCGCCAACGTCCGACAACAGATATGGCAGAAGACAGTCATAACATGAATCTGGCTTCTCTGTTAACTGTCAGATCACAAAAGGTCACGACCCTGGGATCAGTGGTGGTATGCTATCGGTTTGGACCAGTTTAGGCGAACTGGTACTAAAAAAAACCAACTGGTATGGCCAAACCGGTCCCTCCAACGATCAGCTGAGAGGATAAAAGAAGCAACAAGCGGGTGGGAGGGTCGTTCCTAGCTTTTCGTTTCTTCCTCCTCTCAGCTGATTAGCATGTTAGGGGCGTGTGCACTTACATGTTAGGGGCGTGGAAACAAGTGTGTTAGGGGCACTTGCATATTAGGGGTGTGGAAACAAGTGTGTTAGGGGCATGGTGCTTCCATGTTAGGGGCGTGGAAACAAGTGTTAGGGGAGCACACACTTGCATGTTAGGGGCGTGGAAACAAGTTAGGGGCACACACTTGCATGTTAGGGGAGCGCAAACAAGTGTGTTAGGGGTGCGCACGCATGCATGTTAGGGGCATGCATGCATGCACGTTAAGGGCGCGCGCACACACACACACGTACACAATCACCCACCAAACTGGTAGTGACCAAGGTAGGAACCCACTGCTGCCTGCAACCGTCATAAATGAGTCAGTTGCCAAGGGTCAGAATTTTGATCACGTGACCATGCTGCAATGGTCTTAAAAGCATGAAAAACGGTCATAAAAATCTTTTTTTCCCAGTTGTAACTTCCAACGGTCACTAAATGAACTGCTGCACGTCAAGAACTAAGTGTATGGTAACTTCATCCTTGGAATAGGTCAATGGAAGAGTTTGGGAGATCATGCTTCCAGAAGCATCTAATCCAGAAGTGTCTAATGCTGAAGATCAAAAGGTCCATTATTTGACCTCGATTGGTTTCCATCCGTTGCTTCTTGTCCTGCCTTTGGATGCTTTGAAGAATAATTTGACCCTCTCTTCTCTGTGGCAGCCCCTCAAATACAGGAACACTGCTATCCTGCCTGATCCTTCATTAAACTGGACACACTCAATTCATATAGCTTCTGTGAACCACTATGATGGTCCAGATATTGACCAGAGGCACTACACCTTACATCAGAGGTCTCATTCTCGCGGCCTGCGGGCCAATTGCAACCCGCAGGACGATATCCTGTGACCCTCACCGTGATATGAAAGTGTAATATTAGTGCGTTCTCCATGCGTCGCTAGCTGGCTAAACACTTCTATGTGTGGCCCAGCCTCACCCAGACTCTGCCTCCAGCGGCCCCCAGGTAAATTGTGTTTGAGACCCCTGCCTTACATGGTATTATTTGAGTTGTGATCCATCGGCCCCGGCCCCTCCAGCAGCTGAATCAGAGGCGGCGGCAGCATGGGAATCAACATCAGTATCAAGGCATCCTGAGAGTTCCGAGGGGGAAGAGGGAATGGAGATGGCAGAGAGAGAGAGAGAGAGACTGAGCCGTCTGTCAGCCCTCAGATGGAGAGTCAACAGCTCCCAGGTCTGGAAGTGGCTGATGAGGAAGAGGAGGAACAGCTGGGTCCAGTGCCTGATGCATATGCAGAAGGCAGAGGAGAGGAGAGCAGTGAAAATCTATGGGCCGGTCCTTGGGACAGAAGAACCACCACTGCTAACGAAGCCCTTCCCTAGCTGGGGATAAAAAGGCAGGAGGCGGAGATGAATAGCTGTGGCAGACAACTATTCCTCTCCCGGGACGGACTTGTTAAGTCTGCTGTGAGAAGCTTTTTGCCAGGGCTGCCGCCACTCCTAATTAAAGGGATCTTTCAGTTTGCTTCAAATGGGGGTTTGTTGGAGCTGGGTCAGAACAGAGAGCCTCCAGAATACTCTGTATTGGGGTCCCCAATTCCTGCGCTGGGGCCGTGACCTATTCAGAATTGGGCCACATGAGTGGCTGGCAGGAGCGTTTGCAAGCAGCTCAGATTTGCTCAAGCAGTGGGGCCAGGTGCACTCATGCACATGCCCACCGGCCCTCCACTCGTGTAAGTCAAACTGCACCCATGTGCGCTGGCTCGTGACTTACGTGGTTTAGTTCCCCGAGTTGGGCAATTGTTGGGTACCACTGCTCTACATGAATAGTATGTTGCATAACCACATCATACTAAGCAAGGAATCTTTTTGAGATTTGAGAGAACAGAATACTTCATGAAGCCAGGGAGATCTTTGGATTTTGATGTTTCCCCCCACCCGTACCTCCACCCCATGGACAATTCGGCATATCCACACAGACCACTGGTGCTCCATAAAATACAAACTGGGAAAAAGTTAGGCAAAGGTTCATACGTGCTAGTTGTTTCCGGCTCTAGAGGGCGGTCCTCATCTCCCTTACAAAGCCGAAAAGCCAGCGCTGTCCGAAGACGTCTCCGTGGTCATGTGGCCAGCATGACTCAACACCGAAGGCGCACGGAACACTGTTACCTTCTCACCAAAGGGGTCCCTATTTTTCTACTTGCATTTTTTTTTTACGTGCTTTCGAACTTCTAGGTTGGCAGAAGCTGGGGCAAGTAACGGGAGCTCACTCCGTTCCGTGGCACTAGGGATTCGAACCGCTGAACTGCTTGACTTTTCTGCTCGACAAGCTCAGCGTCTTAGTCACTGAGCCACCCGTGTCCCTTGGGGAAAAATTTGGTTTATAACAAACGCTGCTTTACACCACCGGAGCTTTAGTAGACAATTACCAAGAAGGGTTTTCTGGACTAGCAAGAAGCAATTTTATTCTTGTGACGGACAACAAAAGTCACAGCCGCTCGAAAGAAACTTGGGAATCACAAAAGCCTACAAAGCATTTACAAACACCGACGGTTTTGAACGTCTGACACTTTGCTGTGAATTTTGTCTCTAGGAGAGGCACCGAAGCTTGCAGTCAAGGGGGGGGGGAGGAAGAGGAAACAGGATCGCGTTACACCTTAAATTCAGAACAGCCGGCCTGGCTTTTGACTTTCTTTTTTCCCCCCTCTCTTTTTCAAAGTTTTAAACATAAGTGCTAAAGCCCTAAAGGCTGGGACTACATCCAGTGATAGGCTGAGGATGTTATTTCAGGTTGCCAAATTTCAAGCGGCCTTGCACAGCGCCACGGCGGAAAAACGCACCTCTCCTTGCTCACGGTTGGTGAATTGTCGGCAGATCTCGGCTGATGCCTGTGGAGAAAAAGGAGAAACTGTAGCTTGCACAATTGTTGTTGTTCGGTGCAGTCAAGGGCAATGAAACCTAGTCGGAAAGAGGCCTCTCTCTTCAACCCAATGTGCCGGCCGCTCGTGCGTGAAGTGTTTGTCCGCGGTTTGGGTGGAACTGAGCCCTCTTCCAGGTCCAAAAAGCTGGAAAGGGAATCACAGATGTAGTGTCCCAAAGGTGCTTTTTTCTGGAGGCAACTGGGTGATAATGATACTGAATATATAATAGCATAACAGAGTTGGAAGGGACTTTGGAGGTCTTCTAGTCCAACCCCCTACCTTGGCAAGAAACCCTACACCACTTCAGACAGAAGGTTGTCCAACATCCTTTTAAAAACTTCCAGGGTTGGAGCATTCACAATTTGAGGCAAGTTCTCCCACTGATTAATTGTTCTGTCAGGAAATATCTCCTTAGTTCTAAGTTGCTTCTCTCCCTGATGAGTTTCCACCTGTTGCTTCTTGTGCTGCCTTTCAGGTGCTTTGGAGAATAGCTCGACTCCCTCTTCTTTGGGGAAGCCCCTGAGATATTGGAAGATCACTATTATGTCTCCCTTACTCCTTTTCATTAGACTAGACCCGTGATGGCGAACCTATGGCATGCGTGCCACAAGCCATTTGTGCTGGCACGCGAGCCGCAGGCAAACTTACCTCACTGCGCCATGCACACGCCTCACAGCTGATTTTTTTTTTTTCCGGTTGGTTTGAGGCCTTTTTCGGCCTCCCAAAGGCTTGGAAAAAGCTTCTGCAAGGCTTTTCAGGACGAATTATAGGCCCATTTCTTCACTTCCTGTAATACCGGAAGTGGCGAAACAGGCCTATAATTCATCCTGAAAAGCCTTGCAGAAGCTTTTTCAGAGCCTTTGGGAGGCCGAAAAAGGCCTCAAACCAGCTGAAAATTCAGCTTGTGAGGCACAGTGCAGTTAAGGGTGTGGCGGCGGGGGGGGGGGGGGGGGAATTGCACGTGCCTGAACAGGTGGCAGCGGGAGGGTACAAGCATTGCATTCTGGGTGCTGGCACGCAAGTGCGTGCACAATTTTTGACACAGGAGCCCAAAAAGGTTAGCCACCCCTGGACTAGACATACCCAGTTCCTGCAACTGGACTTTCTCGCTTTGTTCGTTTGTTTTGAAGACATTTCGCTTCTCCTCCAAGAAGCTTCTTCAGCTCTGACAGGATAGTGGGGAATGAAAGAGCTGAAGAAGCATTTTGGAAGAGAAGAGAAACGTCTTCAAAAGAAAAAACAAGGCAGCCCAGTTGCCTCCTGAAAAGAAAAAAAAAGCGTCTTTGGGATAATTGTGACCTGGATGACTGAGAATCTCTACAGACTTTTGAGCTATACAGTTTGGGATGAACGCCGTTGGAATGGTGTGGGGATAGGAATGGATTTCCAGAGGGGGGAAAAATTGCAGACTACAGGAACCAGGAGCACCACTCAGGTGACCATGAGGACACAGACAAACCTCCAAGTGGTCTCAATGACCCTCTAAAAGGATGCAAATGACCAGCTGTCTGCAAGCAGGAATATAAATCCTTCCATTCCCCACCATCCTGTCAGAGCTAAAGAAGCTTCTTGGATGAGAAGTCTTCAAAAGTTAAAAAAACAAGGAAGTCCAAGTTACCTCCTGAAAAAAACAAAAAACTTTTGGACCAACCCTGATCTGGAGGACTGAGAATCTCTACAGACTTGTGGATGTTGTATATGTTGTAGGAATTTTGTTAAGGGCGAGTGAAATGGTGACCACCAGAAACTGAAAGGCTCTTACCTTGAGCATGGTGGCATCTGAACTAGCTCCATGCTTTATGGGGAACGGCATTCTTCCATCTGCAAGTAAGGTTGGAGAACAAGCTCATCAGTAGCATGAAAATACTGGTGGTAAGAGGAATTTCGCTCGGTCCACTTTCTGGGAGGGTTTACTCTACAGCAGGGGTCGGCAACCTTGAAACACTCAAAAGTGCCATTTGGACCCATTTCCCACATAAAAGAAAACACCAGGAGTCACAAAACCCATTTGACATCTAAAATGAAGATAACACTGCATATATTGGGGTGGTTTTTTTTACATTTTTTATGCTACGTATAAAAAAAAACCTATAGTATTTATGAAATAAAAAGCCAAACTTAAAATTATCCACCTGCAGCAAACCAAAAACGCCATCTCCTTCTGTGTGCTGTCATCCTCAATAAATCGTGTGCTGGCAAGGTGTCACACATTGGCAGTTATGATCAGTGGTGGGTTTCAAACTTGTTTACCACCGGTTCCTATGGGCATGGCTTGGGGGGGGGGCGTGCTTTGCCCGTGCACACGTGCTTTACGCACATGCGCGCACCAAACACATGCTTTTGAAGCCGACTCCTCGTCCCGATCAAACCCCTTTTATTTAGGTTAAAGCGAATTCCTCTCCAGCAAAGTCTCGGCCAACAGTCCTTCATGAGATTTCACAACTACAGGCCTTTATGAGGCTTGGAGAGTTGTCAGGCCATTATCTTCCAAATGCCACACTGTGGCAACAATTACTTGGCAAGAAGTCAGGAACAGTCTTCACACTAATTAAACAAACTAAGTGTCTCCTGCAAGCACCACTTGCCTTTTCCACCTCTTTATTCCCTCTGGGAGGGGCCATTCACCATCCACCTGAGCCTTTACTCCCGAGTCGACCCTTGTTCCTTAACTGTTCCCTTCCCTGGCACTCTGCACATGCACACACTGGGAACAGGCTCCAGCTGTTCTTCTGCCTCACTGATGTCCAACTCCAAAGGCAGCTGATAACTGTTGGACGGCCCTGGCCCCATCTCTGTCTCCCATGCAGAGCCCTCGTCGGAGCCTTCCCAAGACTCCAGGACTGGCCCATGTTCTTCCCCAACCTCCTCACTGTCCGAATCTGCTGCCAGCTCTACTCGCCGCTGGTGGGCCACAACACTGTTGTAAGTTGAGGGCTACCTGTGTGGACTGCATCTCTGGAGAAAAGTATCCTCCTTTATTTTGTAGCGTGTACAAGGACCTCTTTAGAAACATATGCTATAGGTCAGGGGTGTCCAACCTTGGCAACTTTAAGACTTGTGGACTTCAACTCCCAGAGAGCTTTGCTGGCTGAGGAATTCTGGGAGTTGAAGTCCACAAGTCTTAAAGTTGCCAAGGTTGGACACCCCTGCTATAGATCCTTAAGTCAAATGCATTTATTGGTGCCTAAAAGTTGTGCTTGCCTCAGATGCTACTGGAGAACTGCTCTGCAATGAGTGTTAGAATTGGAGATAGAAAATTGGCCTTTTTAAAGCCAACACACACAGACACAAAACTCACCCAGTTCATAGAGGTGTCCGCCCACGCTGGCAAATAGAATGAAATGGAAGTTCACCTTATCGTCTTCAGCCTAAGAAAAGATAGAATCAAGAACCTAGGAATCTAGTAAGAATAGGGAAGGGATGTATATAATAGTGGCACCCAAAGGTGCTTTTTCTAGAGGCACCTGGACTTTCTGGTATTACTTTGAGGATGTTTCGCTTCTCATCCAAGAAGCTTCTTCAGCTTGGACTGGATGGTGTGGAAGGGAAAGATTTATACTCCTTGCAGACAGCTGGTCATTTGCATCCTTTTAGAGTGTTTTTGAGGTCACTTGGAGGTTTACCCAGGCTTCCTTGATTCTCTAAAAAGGATGCAAATGACCAAGCTGTCTGCAAGGAGTATAATTCCTTCCATTCCCCACCATTGTCAGAGCTGAAGAAGTTTCTTGGATGAGAAGCAAAACGTCTTTAAAGAAAAACCAGAAAGTCCAGTTGCCACTTGAAAAAAAAAAAAGCACATTTGGGACAACTATGGATGACTTGAGGATCTCCATAGACATAATGGTGGCACATTTATTTCCTATTATTTTTATTTTTTTTGTAATATTTTTGAAACAAGCTTCCCTGGCATTTTCACATCCCTGCTGGAAGGAATAACCTTGAGGAACACACAAGAAAGAGCTGCTGTTACAACGCTGGCCAGATAAAGGAAACCAAGTTAAATAAAATAAATAAAATTGAATAAAGTTAGATACAGATCCACGATCAGAATAAGCGTCTCAGACACAATCCTGCCCCCCCCCCTTCTCACCCCCCCCCCCCCCCAAAAAGGAAGAAAGTGGGGAAATGTTGAGATTTGCAAAATTCTGTTATTATAACCCTCTCAGGGTTGAAACACCATTTCTTGGCCCATCCTATTGTTGAAAAACCTATAAATTAATGCAGTATTATTTACCCGACACTGGCCCTCTTGTGCTACCGCATTATGGACTTCTTGAATGGCCTGGGAAGAGATTAAAAAAAAAATCAGAAATGATGTGGGTTTTGTTTTGTAACCTCCAGTGCTGAACAGCATTTTAATGATTCTATCTAAATCCACTATTCCCATTCCTACTAATCTGTACCATCTGCGCTAGGGGTGTCCAACGTTGGCCATTTTGAGACCGCTGAACTTCAACTCCCAGAATTCATGTCTGGCTGGAAAATTCTGGGAGTTGGAAGTCCACAAGTTTTTTTTTTTAAAGAACTTTTTATTTTGACAACAAACATAAAAGAAACACAAACACAAAACATCAAATAAAATCATTTTCCATTGTACAATGTGTCGGTTGGTACGTATCTCTTGTGCACAATATTAAGTGTCTTTCCCTCCTAAATTTAAATTTAAATTCATATTATGTCAATCAGCTATCCATATCATATTGCTATCAAACCATTAGACTTTGATTGTAAGTTCATATCATCCTTTTCGAGCAAGTCTCAACTTTTACAATGTCTAATTGATAATCATTCATTTCACAATAACCAAATATAACATTACAATATATCATCTTTACTATTATTTTATATCTATATTATAGTATATTTTATTTCTCTATTTTCTTATCTACAAAGGAACCTCTGTGGCACAGTAGTTAAGAGTGCAGTACTACAAGCTACTTCTGCAGCCAGCTGCCTACAATTTGGCAGTTCAAATCCCACCACGGCTCAGGGTTGACTCAGCCTTCCATCCTTCCGAGGTGGGTAAAATGAGGACCCCAATTGTTGGGGGCAAGAGGCTGACTCTGTAAAAACTGCTTAGAGAGGGCTGTAAAGCACTATAAAGCAGTATATAAGTCTAAGGGCTATTGCTATCTAGCCATTGATAAAATAAATCCCATATTTTATAATAATCTTTTTCTTCTTGCTCTCTAATTGCCAATGTCAATTGACTCATCTCTGTACATTCCATTATTTTATTTTTATCACCTCTTCTATTGGGGTTTTTTCACTTTTCCTAAAGTCCACTAGTCTTAAAGGAGGCCGAGATTTGACACTCCTAATCTACTACCTGTTCAACAAGCACGAATGGCAGAGCGTGAATTCCTTGAAGGGGGAAAAAATCATTAACATATAGATAAGTCTTCAGATTATGTCTGTTTGTTTAGTAACCATTAAAAGTTAGCATGGCACTGAGCAAATGGTTATGACCGGTTCTTGCTGTTCTGGGCTGTAGCCATGTCCACTCAGTCGCATGATCGTGAACTAAACAACTGCAACCTGGCTTGCGAATTATGAGGCCATAATTCAGGTACAGGTAAAGGTTCCTCTCGCACATCTGTGCTAGTCGTTTCCAGCTCTAGGGGGCGGTGCTCACCTCCATTACAAAGCCAGAGAGCCAGCACTGTCCGAAGATGTCTCCGTGGTCATGTGGCCGGCAGGACTAAACGCCTTCGCAGGTGCATGGAACGCTGTGACCTTCCCACCAAAGTGATTCCTATTTTTGTACTTGCATTTTTTAAATGTGCTTTTGAACTGCTAGGATGGCAGAAGCTGGGACAAGGAACGGGAGCTCACTCTGTTACGCGGCGCTAGGGATTCGAACCGCCGAACTGCTGACCTTTCTGATCGACAAGCTCAACGTCTTAGTCACTGAGCCAACCTTATGAGGCCATCCTAAGCAGCAAATTCTGGCATCCCGTGAGCAAAGTCATTGGGAAAGCCAGTGGGAAGTGGGAAATCATGACCACATGAAGTCCTTGCTTAAAAACAGCCACCAGGGCTGCCAGAATTGTCATCCCCAAGTGATGTGGTCACCTGACTTTAGGGCTACATGGCTTAATGATGGGGAATTCTGACCCCAACTGTTGATTTAACACAAGGACAACCTACATTCAAGATGATACATTTCAAATATCAACCAATTGTAATTTATCACAAACACTGAACGGAAGACATAAAAAAATCATACCATTATCTAAATCGGGGGTGGCAGGGAAAGAATACTGCAAATTCCCCATTCCCTCCCCCCCCCCACTAACCTGCTTTTCAGCTCCGTTCTCCTGTTCAGGGCAACAAAAGACGATTCAGCTGATCAGCTGGGACTCAATGGGAGGCAGAGAATAGATGGGGGGCGGGACCAGTCAGAGGTGGTATTTGCTGGTTCTCCAAACTACTCCAAATTTCCACTACTGGTTCTCCAGAACTGGTCAGAACTGGCTGAATACCCACCTCTGATTCCCTCCCCACCCCACTAACCTGCTTTGCAGCTCCGTTCTCCTGTGCAGGGAAACCAAAGATGACCCAGCCGATCAGCTGGGACTCGGGAGGCAGAGAATAGATGGGGTTGGTGGAGCCAGTCAGAGGTGGGATTTGCCGGTTCTCCGAACTACTCAAAATTTCCTGCTGCCGGTTCTCCAGAACTGGTCAGAACCGGCTGAATACCACCTCTGGAACACACCCTTAAGCCTCTACGAGCACCTCAAACCACCTTGGAGAAAATAAAATGAAAATTTATCCAAGCCACCCATCCTTTTACCTTGTTGTTCTCAAGACGTTTTGCCCTCTCATCTGGGGAGAGTCCAGCTGTTGCAGTCAGGAATTCTTTTAAGGCAGATCCTTCATCTGGAAAAGACGGAATCGCAAAGGGATAGTGTTATATAGGGAAAGAAAGCAGCAGAGAATAGAGTACGGAACAAGAGTTGGAAGAGGTCTTCTAGTCCAACCCCCTGCTCAGGTCCTAGCGGCCCAGTCCTCAACTCTATAGCATTTCAGACCAAAGGTTGTCCAATCTCTTCTTGAAACCCTCCAGTGATCGAGCACCCACAACTTCTGGAGGAAAATCCACTAATTGTTCTAAGTGTCAGGAAATTCCTCCTTAGCTTTAGGCTGATTCTCTCCTGGATGAGTTTCCATCTTCTTGTCCTGCCTTCAGGTGCTTTGGAGAATAGCTTGACTCCCTCTTCTTTGGGGCAACCCCTTAGATATTGGAACACCTCACTACTACAGTACTACTACTACTACTTACTACTACTACCCGTGTTTCCCCGAAAATAAGACCCTGCCTTGTATTTTTTTTGCCACAAAAAAAGGCACCAGGTCTTATTTTCGGGGTATGTCTTCCACTAACCTCACTTGCGCCTGTCACCCCTGGCTCCTTTTCACCATCAGAGACCTTCAGGAACTTCTTCTGTGGCCAGCAAGGCTTTCCCGAAGGCCTCTACAGCTGATGACAACGCTCTGGATCAATCCGGAGCTTCATTACCGGCTACAGAGGCCTTCAGAAAAGCCTTGCCAGCCTTGCCGGCTGCAGAAGAACTGGGGCAGCAAGGCAGGTGTCGGGGTGTGCGAGGCCTGGCTACACCTGTCCGAAGATAAGAAGTAGGGCAGCTCCAACCCCCCCATCCTCACCCTAGCTTAAATTGTACCCGTCTACTCAGGAGTGGGTGGGATCGTAATTAGGGCTTATTTTGGGGGTAGGGCTTATATTGGGCACATGTAAAAAAATAAAGCTAGGGCTTACTTTCAGGACATATTTTCAGGGAAACTATAGTAGCAGCTGATTCCACCAACTACATCTGCAAGGTTTTGAGGCACATTTATTTCTACAGGGTTAACCCCCACATGTATTTTAAACTCCAAATCATCATCCAGAATTTCAGGCAGACCCAAGAAAGGAAACTTACATCATCTCCTCTGTAGGTTGTCAGGAGTAAGGCAGTGACTCCCATTTAAATCATGAGTCTCAAGCCAAACTTCCAAAACTTAAAAAGGATTTATTGGGAGTTAACATGCCGGCACTGCCTGGGTGTAGCTGACTCAGACACATAATTCATTGTCACCCTTGACCCTGGTTTTCCCCCACCCCGTGTGCATCGTAATTCAAATTCTGCAATGGGACACATCCATAGCCAAGAGCCATCAATCATGCTCTCCAGCTAGAATTCTGCGTGGCAGAAACTTCGGTCTCCTAGAAACTGTCTTTGAAAACATTTATGGAATGTACTTTTGGTTTTGCAAGCTGCTGCACTGCTCCTCCCTCCCTTTCTGTTGGCAACTCTAAAAAGACCAGAGAAATATTTTGAGTTGACAAAGGTTTTGAATACTCCTTGAATTCTTAGGGGCTCAAAAAATAAAATTTTATGTTCCCCAAAGCTAAGTCCACGTCAACTGAGAATTCAGAGTTCCAGTAAAGCTTGCAAGGTTTATATAGCCATTGGAAAATTCTCTCCCCTGGTTACTTACCGAATCGAATCTTATCTTGATTATTAGCTACTGCATGGATGAGGCCAATGGTTCCACAGGAGTTACTCGCCGTCTGTTTCACAAAGTACACATCTGGGCTAATTTCTTGGCCCTTCAGTTCGCCAATTTGCTTTTTCCGGAAGTTTTCATGCTACAATTGAAGCGTAATCATCTTTTTTGGTAAAAAGATTTTTATTTTTATCTTTTAGTGAACAGCGTGGTTTTGGGTTTTTATATTTCCGTACAAACATGACCTTAGTTATATATTCATCTTTCACATTCAATTCCATATCATATCATTAAATTTATAATTTCTATAAATTTTCTCAAACATTCTTATATTCTTCATACTTATTGTATATATTTTCTATTCATCTCTCCTTTCATTTTTCTTTGAATATTCTTGTGTCTTCTTTATATAATATTTTAAAATCTTATTTTTTGTTCTATACTCATTGTACTTATACTTTTACCTGTCACATTTACAAATTCATCACCTACTCTCAATTCATTATTCAAAACATTCATCATAGTTCTAATAATTCAAAAATCTCCCCCTTCAACTACTAATTTGAGTGTACCACCCCTTTGTCTTATACATCAATTAACTCCCCTTTAATTCATAGTTATCATCGTATAATCGTATTTTAGTTATCACTTTTTGAGTTAGTACCAATAATCTCCTTGAGTGATTACCCAGGGTGGGATACAAAATAAACACAGGCACAAAAACAGGTGAAGTCCCTTTAATTCCTTCAACTTGGCTTCAAAGCTCCAAATATCCTTGACTGGAGACAAAAAAACTCCCCCACAGTTGCAAAAAGGAGGAAATGCAGTTATAAACTAAAAATACCTATACATTATAAATAGAAAAAACAACACAAACCACACTGAAGCAATTAAGGGAACCAGGCAAGATAAGGGCTTGAAGACATTCAGAGATATCGGAGTACACACTGGGAAGGGCGCCAAACTCAGGTAAGAACAGAGAGACTAGAAATATTTTCATCCTTTGTTTCCAGCACTGGCTCATGCGCAGTCCTTCCTTTTAACCAGTTCTCACAGCTGCAGCCCATGAAGGGGATCAGGGCCCTTTCGTCCCCTGTACACCACGTCATTCACATTTCTCCCTTATCCTCTCCTCGCTGCGTGCCCTAGGATGGAGAGGGGATGGGCCTGGGTCTTCCTCTGACTGCCCAGCCGCCCTGTGCCCTTCCCCAGCTTCCTTCACAACCTCCCGAGCCACACTCCCACTCCCTGTCGGCTGTTCCTCCTCTCTCTTGGAGTCAGTCTCCAACAGGGGCATGACACCTTGCTACCGCATAACACTTATATATTTTAAGGCAGATTCTGCATGGTATATTCCCCTTGGTTACATTCAAATTTATTATTTCAGGTATATTAATCTATTCAATATACAGTGAAAACTGAGAGTTACATTTTAGCTATATTCTTAATTTTATTAACCATATTTAACATACTTCTATAACTTCCCATTTTCACATTTATTCCAAATATGTCTATGTGTAATAACAACTAGTCCAACAGCAAAAAAAAAAGCCCATCAGTTTAGCAACTTTCTAAGTTATTTATCACTAATTGAAGCATTTTCATGACCATGTCACGTAACAACCAGGTTACCAGTCGTCCAACTGCAGTGATTCACTTAACCAGAGGCAAGAAAAGTCGTAATGTGGGGCCAAATTCATTTAACAAGCTTTCACAACAGAAACGTTGGGCTGCATGGTGGTTGTTAAGTCAAGTAACACCGTTATTCAGCAAATCTGGCTTTGTTGACTTTGGCCGTCAGTCGCAAAAGGGGATCATGCGACCTCAGGACTTACACCCACTTGTTTAGCGACTGTTCGGAGTTACAAAGAGCACTGAAAAAAAATGACTCGAGACCATTTTTCACACTTATGACCATTGCACCATCCCTCTGGTCTCATGGTCAAAGTTCACAGGCTCGGCCACCCACTCATATTTATGACTGTTGCAGTGTCCTCGGGGGTCATGTCATCCCCTTTTGCGACCTTCTGATAAGGAAAGTCAACTGGGGAGAAAGCCAGATTCACTTAACAACGGTGTTACTCATTTAACAACTGCTGGGATTCACATAAGAGCTGTGGCAGGTCGTAAAATGGGGTGCAACTCACTTAACTATCTTGCTAAACCATGGAAATTTGGGGCTGAATTCTGGTTAAGTCAAGGACTGTCTGTATACAAATACAAATGGGTGATGCACACAAGTGAGGTTAGTCAGTGGGTGACATCTCCCCAAAATAAGACCTGGTACCTTTTTTGGTGGCAAAAAATAATATATATGTCAGGGTCTTATTTTTTGGGAAACATGGTCTAGGGCCTTTTCTTTCTTTTTGAAATACATTCCAGGGTGCCCAATAGTTGTCAATTCTGGCTTCTAAGCAAATTTCCATGGGTATTATAAGCAAGCAGCAGCCATTCTCCCGAGTATTTACTGTAAATTTGCTATCCGGGTTCAAAACCCAGTGAATTGTTTTGTTCAAGATTCCCCCCCAAGGCAGTTTTGCAAATTCCTTTGCAGGACATTCAAAGGACATGTCAATCCACTTCAGGGGGAGATCTGTACTTTGGATTCGTGAATGACATCCAACAGTATTGCAAAGGACTATAAAATAAGTCCAGGCTCTGCACCCTTGGCAACTTTACGACTTGGGGACTTCCAACTCCCAGAATTCCTCTGCATAACATGCCTGGCTGAGGAATTCTGGGAATTGAAATCCCCAAGTCATAAAGTTGCTCGATGGTTGGAGATCTCTGCATTAAGAGAGGTGCAAGGTTTTCATTTTTGTTATTAATTTTTATTTGGCTTTAATACTTACCTGAGCAGTAAGGGGAAACAGCAGAAGCAGCGCACAAGCTGGGCTTGGCACGGTGCTCAAAATGTCTTCATCCAATCCCAGCACATCCACGAATTGCCAACCAGGGGCAACTCCTAGGCGGCAGAGTATCTACACAATCAAGGGAAGGACACACAATACTGGGTATCTCACCACACCTGCAGGCAAATCATGGTCACTTCTGAACGTGACACCAACCAGCAAGTGTTATTTTGGTTAGCTGAGCCACCAGCGCTTCTATGGTCTGGGTTCAAAACTGGGATTTTTAATTATTCATTTTCTGGTTTACTTTGGGAATGAGGAGGAGGTAAACCCCCGAATCCAGTGACGGTTCAGCAAATATTTCCAATTACGTAAAACTAAAAAATGAGAACATTCCCGTTTTATTCCCATATAATAGGTAATCAAAAGTAAATAGGCAAAAGCTTCACAGGTTGGAAACCTGCAGAAGAGGCCTTCATTCTACAGTTGGGTAGACAATGGCTAAAATGGTAAATAATGCCATGGGGGGGCGGGGTTTGGAGCAAAAAATTGCACCTTGTTCTGGGGAACAAAAAAAATTGCAGCTTGTTCTGCATTCCAATTCTCAAGCAGGCAGCATCTTCATAGTCTGCTTTGGGTTTACCAGATTCTAGCAAAATGAAATCCATTATTAGATTTAATACAGCCATCCCATTCTGCACATATGAAGCCTGCTTATTCTGGCAAATAAATGAAAAATAAACTAAATTTCTCATTCAACCACACGGTAGGTAGAAAGCTTGATTGGTCTTACCATTGTATCAATTAAAATAAAATACAGGATCTAATTTGAGGGAAAATAGATAAAAAGAAAATGTAGTAATGAAACTTATGTTCTCTTTGTGATCCTGTTGTCTCAATTTCCACGTTGTGCAGCTGGTCATTAACTAAATTTAAAAAATCCAGATGTGGGAATTACAAAGAATCAGGTAAATGACTCACCTTTATAGGATGCACTACTTTGTTCAAGCTATTGGGCTTTTTAGCTCACCTGCCTTAACCAGGTGTGGGCAGTCATGACAACCAGACTGTAGACTTCAACTCCCAGATTTCCTGAGTCAGCATGGCTGGCTCAGGAATTCTGGGAGTTGCAGTCCACAAGTCTTAAACGGTCAGAGTTTGAAGACTCTTGATCTATTCTATCTATTCTCTCTCTCTATTCTACCACTCTATCTATTCCAGGGGTCTTCAGACTTGGCCAGTGTAAGACTTGTGGACTTCAATTCCCAGAATTCCTGAGCTAACCTGACCAGAAGAATAATTCTGGGAGTTGAAGCCCACAAGTCTTAAAAGCTGTCAAGTTTAAAGACACCCCCCCCCAATTAGAGCCAAAGGAAACAGGATAATCTGGAATTCAGATCCAAAATGGGCTTTCTGTCAAAGTAGGGATGTGAAAAAGAGCCAAGGTGAAGAAGGGAAGGTAGAAGGTTAAAAAGAGAAGCCAAAACAAAAACCAGGTCGTCCTTTTCCAGGAGCAAATAGGTTATATCGTGTTTGCATCTGCAACACCCAGGAGAGAAAAGGGTCTGTGTTGCTTGTGGCCACGGTTGCAGTGCGGCTTCCAAGAACATGGGAGTTGTACCCAAGGCAGAGAAAGGATGCTCACACTTCCAGAGGTTGATGGAAGATGCTGGGAAAGGCTGGTGGCTTGCCCAAGAGCAAGCAGGACCACTACCACCGTTAAGGAGAGAATATCCTGGTCTGGCAAT